TTTGTAATATAAGAAAATGGAGGAAGGAAATGGGGTGGTGGAAAGAGTGAAGGAGGAATAGAAAAAAAAAGAAAGGAAATGACAAATAAGACAAAGAGAGGGGTTGTCTCGTTTTTATAAAAGGATCTGTCTAGATTTTTTTTTAACCTTTCATACTATTCTTATTCTTATTCTTTATTCTCTTTTTATTATATAATACCGAGGAACTAACCTCAATCTTATAACTATTATTTTTTTTCAAAAATATATAAATTACTAATTTAATTCTATTTTTATGGCGAGTTATTACAACTTAGCAAGTTGGGATGGGATATTATTCGAGGGTAGAGAAAAATCTTGGGTTCGTGTGTTATATCAAAAATATCTCTATGATGACCCATTTCTAACTCATCACTCTCCTTAACTAGCATCTTTGATTTGAAAGGCTATTTGTAAGTCTCTATCTTACCTAAAGAATTTCTATATATGGAGAATTAGCGATAAGAAAAGTGTTTTCATCTAGTTTGATCATTGGACATCTTCATATGCTCTAAAGTACCATGTACCTTTCATTATTGATGGGGGAAAAGTTATGATGGTTGTTGATATCATATATGTTTCGGTTGTTGGGATGTTTCTTAGATTTGTACAACTCTTCCATATGCCATCAATTTCTTTCGGTTGACCACTCCTCTTTCTAGAGTTCATTCTACTATGGATAAATTAGCTTATGAAGAAACTAGATTTGGATACTACACTATAAAATCTTGTTATGAATTTATCATTAGAATCCCTTACCCAATGAAGCTCAATGCTTATTGGAAGAGTATCCGAAATTTTCTATTTTTTTAAAAAAATATCACTTCTTTCTTTGACAATTAGAATGCCAATGTTTACTAAGCAATGTTCTTCAATTTCATAGAGAATTAATGACACCTCCCATTTGTTCTAGGTGTGGGGCGGCTTAGGAGTTAATTATCCGTATTTTACAATATTATTAATGGGCTAAGGATGTATGGCTACATCTTTGTCTTTTTCCCTTTCACATGACTTCTTCTCTATTTTTTGTGATGACTAGTTCTATAGGAATGTTTTTGACAATACCATTCCTTGGCATCATTGTCGGATATTCATCCTTACATGTTTGGTTATCTAGAAGTCTCAAAATTGAAAAATCACCAAGAGGACTAGTAGTTCAGCTAAGAGTCAATTCTAGATGATCCACTCTCTAATTTAGGATTGTGAGCTAGCCTTTAACACTCTCTTGATGGATGTCTCTTATACTCCATAGTATTGGATCTTTTAGTAACCCCCGTCACTTGGATTCAATCAAATTTAACACATATAACGGTTATCTTTCTTCATCTAATCGTCGTCGGGGTGGGTGGTTCTCTCTAAAATTCTTATGGGCTTTGGATTTTCGATTTCTTAGGTTTTTTTTTCATCACTTGTCCATTATGCTTGTAGAGATGGAAGTCGTTCGTCGGGAGCTAGTTATTGCTTGGGATATGGAGTATATGAAAGTGGTGATGGAAACCGATTCTCAAGAAATAGTTCATGCTATTCAAAACGAGGGTCTCATCTTGCATCTATATTATAATATCTTTTTTGATATTCATTGTTTTTGTCAACATTAGTAGATAGTGTCATTTAGGCATATTTTGAGAAAATGCAACTCGTTGAGATGACTTTCTAGGTAGGAATGACTTTTTTAACGACATGTCATTATAGATTTAACATCATCCTTCACCAAGTCCTACCAATATTAATTTGAATGATGCTATTAAGATCTCTTTCCTTAGAGCCTAGTTTTGTGCTCTTTTTTCTTTTATTAAATAAAAAAGAAATGCATTGGAGCGAATTTTTATTGCACAAAATATCCCACATTAAAAAAAAAGTTCAAAACCACTTTACTTTGATGATGATAATAATAATAATAATAATTTAGAAATACTTTTTTTCCGGAAGGAAACTTAAGTTTCCACAACGAGAGGATTCCATTACCAATTTGGGGCTTCTTATTTGTAATATTTTTTTTTTAAAAAAAGAGAGGAAAACACAAACGAGAGGATCCCATTGCTTGTGACCTCCCAAATCGAGGTGTTCACTATTCGGTGAAAATCGAATAACCGAACCGAAATATCAATTTCGGTGCGGTTTTTGTTTTTAGAAACTAAAAAAAAAACCGAACCGAAATATAGTCGGTTTTCGATTTCAATTTTTTTTTAATTCGGTTAAAACCGAATAACCAAAATTATTAAATTTGTTTTTAAAATTCATCGATGAACGACGTCGTTCATTCCAATCCTCACACCCTCACCTCACCCTCATGCAAACCTAAGCTAATTGGAGGTAAATCAATTAGCCCATAACCAATTCTTGTTGCATTGATTACATGAGCCAACTAGTCCAACGCCAAATGACCATAACCAATTCTTGTTTATAATTGCCCAAGGAGGTACATAATTTCTTTCTTGATTTAATTTATAGTTTAAAAAAAAGATGTGAGATAGTATTTTTTTTCTATGTGAAAGAAAACTAGTTAATTTATGGATCTTGATAATAATTAGTATGTCTCTTTTTAGTAAACACATATAATTTAAAATTACGCTAAAGAAAGTTGAGTGTTTAAAGTTTTAATGTTCTTCATTGTTCAAAAACAACATTGCCATTTAATTAGCAAAGGTTAGCTTATGATCGTAGTGTTTAACAAGTTACCCAAAATTATTAGTTCTAATTACGTCAAGTTAATTAAAAGTGTCTTTCATAAAGACAAATAAGTCGATTATATTTGAGCTTCAAAGCATGCTCTGTTTCTTTTTAGAAGGAATTATTAAAATGTCTTAATTGTAACACATATTTGACGGTATTATCTATCGATATCGATAGACAATAACATATATTATATATTATTAGACTTTATATAGTAATGATGACATATCGTATTATATATATATATATATGAATTGATATTATATTAGTAATGGGTATTGAGGAGTAGTAAAATAATAGTAAATAGGCAAAGTCTAATGAGATTGCAAAACGTATACATATAGGAACATAGCCTAAAAATCGCAATGCAAATACTAAATTTATTTTTTCGAAAGTGCATGATCCTTTCAAAAATAAAAAATATAGATAATTACATGTGAAAATCGAATTACTGAATAAAAAAACATATATATTTCAAAACCAAACCGAAAATTGAATAATAATTCGGTTCGGTTTTGGTTTTTTTAGGCAATTCGGTTAAGCGAAAATCGATAAAAAAGTTCAAAACCGAACCGAATTACCGAACAAACACCTCTACTCCCAAATTTCACAATTTGACCCACGAGTTTCGTTCCATTTCTAATCTAATTGGATAAATCCACGTCATAAAGCATAAGACTCAATTGCCCTCACTCAATAACGCCGACATCATGGATTAGGATGATACTATTATCGGGGGTTAAAAATGCATTTGTGCCTCAACTCTCAATTTTATGTTATTTTATTCCTTTTGTTATTTTTTTGCACCAACTAGTATTTTTATCTGCGTTGCATTATAGATTAGACAAAATAAATAAAATTATTTTATTTTGATATTTCATCTTATATTGTATGTCTATTAAAACATATCAAACCAAAAATAAATAAAAAGTCATTCAATTCTATCATTTTTAATCAAAATTTTATATTTGACTAGTTATTTTTAATATTTTCATAAATTTTTTATTAAAAATATTTTTTATTTATCTTTATTCATATTTTTAGCTCAAGCCTTATTTTGTAAAGTTTTTTTCTAAACATCCTTTTGCCTTAAAATTTTTAATTAAAAAATTAGAGAAAAAAAAAGCAAGAACTCAAGTGACCAAAATAAAACAAAAAAATGAGACCAAAATCAAATAAAAAATATTTACAATCTAAAAAAACAATATTAAAAAAAAGAAACAAAGTATAATGTTACAAAAACTTTTGTAATAAATGTCTTAAAAATATTTAAAAATTACAAAAATATCACTATATAGTAAAAGGAATAGATATTTGAATTTGTGTGAATATTACGAATGAATTTAAATGAATAATGTTTTAAATAGTACAATAAATAGTAGTAACCAATAATTTAAGTTTAGTTTTTTATAATATAACATTTCAGAATAAATAACAGCATGATTTAACACAATCAACATGGAAAGATCATATTAGTCCATACATAATATAATATAGACTAAGCATAATAGTATTACAAAAGTGATCCGCAAGGGATGCATAACATTATGATTCGTCACATACATAAATTATCAAATCATATTATTAAATGTTATTTGTGTTAACAATTTTTTTCCCAATAAAACTCTTTCTACATGTCAACAAGTTCAATTTTTTAAAAAAATTTGTTCGAGAATAATAATAAAAATTCAGAATTAGTTTCTTTTAACAAAAATATTACAGAAATAAAGAGCTGGGAATATCACGTATGATGTCCTATTTCCTGTGAAAGAAAACATGGATAAATTCGGTTGGATGATGTGGATATGATTAGTAATAACGTTAATTTGAAATTAACTCGTGTTCCATTGATGAACGTTAGAGGATAATCTGGTAAATCTACCACATTAAATGACGTTTCCATTGGTCCCAACTCCAAAATTTCACAATTTTGATTTGATTCGTCGAATCAACGCAAAGAAACCACAAAGACTAAATTACCCTCACACGCAAACTTCAGGCGTTATAGATTAAGCTGGCTAACGTTATAATGACCATACCGGAATATACCCAAATCGACGGGGACTAATTGAAAATCACACACCTCACCAAATCCCGAAAACTATAAATACTCTCATTCTCATCCAAACTTCTTGCCCTAATAGTAGCCCCGCACCCAAACAAACCCTCTCTTTTCCTCAGCCGCAACCATGCTTTCCGTATCCAAGCACCCCGTCTCCCGTCATCTTCCCTCCAATTCCTCAATTGTCTTCATCAACTCCTCACCACGACACCGCTTTCGCTAATTTCTTGTTGATTATGCGGCGGTGATGGATGAGTCGGCGGAGGAGAATTATCCGGTGAATGTTGTTGTTGCGGCGGCGAAGAAGAAGAATAATTTGGTTATGGGATCTGATGAGTTGTTTGGTAGAGATGATGATGAGGATAGTAATAATAATAATATTATTAGGGTTTCAACGGTTGTTGTTAAAGAAGCTGTTGAGGTTGAGGAGTCGATTTTTGTTAGCCCTAGAGCAGCTTCAGCTGCTTCGATTCAGCAGTGCAGCTCTTTGTTTGCTCAAAAAGGTCTATCTTGGCCCTTTTTTTGTGAAAATTTTGAGCTTATACAATTTAAATTTGGTTCTTGTTATATTTTACTGTTTAATAATTTCCAGCTCTAGATGCGATATCTTGTCAAGGAAGTGATATTTCTTTTTTGGTGAGGAATTGAAAGGGAGAAACTAGTTAAAGACTCATAGTTGGAAACAGCTCCAGATCTAGTCAAGCATGTGTTAGACTTATGGGTTGTAGAAGATGAATGTAGGTGAACGCGTGTGAGATCGGAGAGGCTGCTATATTGGGTGCTTGAGCTTGGTTTTCAGTTTTGTGTTTTCAATTAGCTTTCAAATTTATCATTTATGGTAATTTAGGGTAAAATTGTTTGGATTTCAAATTAAATTAATATGAGCTAGATTAGCATGTGGATGTATATTCTGTTATCTATCAATTAAACATCCGTGGCAGATGTGTTATATAGCCCTTAGAAGCTTCTAGAACCGGGAATAGTTATAGAAGTGGTTTTGGGGAGTGGTAATTAAAGATATAGCCAATTTTGGATAATTTGTTTTGCTGACATCAAAGCTCTGTGTTAGTTGATATTATGATGTATCTATCATTGTTTGACTGGTGTGTGGTCTTTTACGGTGGTGTAAGCTAATGCTTTATTAACCATTGTTCGGCAGATGAAATGAGCTCAATCACCGCTTCGGAGTCAACTTCATGGGAGAGGGTTTCACCTCTGGAACACCGTAAGCAAGTTATTCAGATGCCTAGCTTACCTAATGGAGACACTTCTAAACAACTCCATTGTGGTGGCTCAAATGGTCTTTCATGGATTCCTAGACCTGAAGAAGTGCAAGTACAAAGAAGAGGAGGAAAAGTGTCAAGAAATAGCAGTGGTTGTTCTAAGAGACCACGTTTATCTCCATTGGAGGATTCTACTGGGCCAGCTGGAGCTGATGACCCAAAGGATTCGTCTGATAAGCTAGGTCCTAATCCAACAAAGAGTGACTCTCATGGTAAAACCCTTTTCCCTAGTATAAAATAACCATTTGACCTAAAGTATTTCTCTGTCTACTTGAGATGTGAGTGGTAGAAGCTTCTTAAAATGATTTTCTTCGTTGCGGTTGTTTTATTGGCAATTATAATGTTCTCTTGTACGTACATGTTTAATCATATATTCATGTAATATGGCAGCTCTCCACATAATATGGTGGTTGTCTGTGTCTTGCAAGCTACTGTGAATACCTAGCAGGATTCTTACAAGTGTGCATTTATTTCTTTGGATTATTGCTTGCTAAACATACACATACAGAGAAAGCAGTTTTGGAACTGCAGCATACCCTTTCTCTTTCACTTCTCTAAATCAATATTCTTTCATTGCCAATTTGCCATTTCTTTTATACTTCATGTGTTAGTTATGCGTGCCAGGATGAATACTCAAAATGATGTTGGATATATTTTATTTTCCATATCACTTACAACTGTTGGCATCACTGAAATTTGATTTTAGCAATTAACAATAACCAACCATGTGTTCTCCTATTATACATGATTTAATTCTGTGCATATAAGAATGTGCAATAGCTTTTATTCATATAAAAGCTGCAGGCCAGCTCAATCCTTATACTTATGAATGGTTAATTTATCTAATGTACATCTTAGAAAAAAATCAATGGGGGAAACGAAAGAATAACTTCAGCAGCAAGCGAGGTGATAGGAGACACTCTAGAGTTACTGTGAAGACTAAATATGATTCCTTCTCTGTGAAGGCGGGTTTGGCGAGCTTTGGTTCAGCTGCTGGAGGGAACGACTTTTTTGGTACAATACAGTCTCATAAATATTTCTCTTTTTGTTTTATGATCAGTTTTCATTGACTATATGCTTAAGATTTGTTAATTGTTGCCTCAGGTTACTCTGTATTACATCGATGCGTACAAGTTTAGTCTCCATATGTTAGAAATGTGCCAAATCAACCTTCCATTATATATGCAATTAATGTAATGTTGATATTTTCTATGCATGATATGGAGTTTAAATTAATGAGGTTTGCTTGATACTTATTTGGCAATTTTTTTAAAGAAACTCACCAATTTGGGGAGAGGGGAGTGGGGCGCATCAGCATGTTGTTGAAGCCACAAATCAAGTCTATTGCTTCTTTCTATGCTAGTTTGAAACTGCCCTAATTTCCCAGTTCTGGTCTGGTTCGCTGAAGTTGTGTGCTGTCCTCTTTCTTGCCATTGATCAATGAGATTTAAACATATGATGCATAATTTCACAGATTGCTGCTTCTTTTTTCTGGCACTTTGAAGATTATGCCCCTTATCTTTACTTTCTGAAATACATTTTCTGTTTTTTTCTATGGCACTGATAACTCATTGTGTTATCTATCTTCCCTTTAGGCAGGGTTGCGTTAAACTCATGTGAATATTTGGATATTAATCTCAGGACTATGTGGTTTGAAGACGGATGTTCATGACATCACGAAGCTGGTGCACGATATATCATTGAACGATCTTCTCGATGGCACCTATGAGTGTCCTAGCTTAGGAAAAGACAAGGGGAAGAAAGCCACAAATACGACTGAAAGTTTTCTGCATTCAGTTGGAAAGGCTTGCCTTATTCTTCAGTTTCCCGGGCCTGCTCAGTTCCAGAATTTTGTTGAGACAGATGTCTGTTCCAGCGAGAAAATACCTACATGCCCATCTAATTCTGTTTCTATTGTGGAAAATGGAGATTCTTCAGCAACTGATATCTCTTCATCTAACAAGGTTAGTTCAATCAAGTTATTGGATGCAAGAGAAGGTAGACAAGCATGACTTAGCTGGAATCTAGCCCACTCACTGAATAAGTGACTGTAAACACCCCCCTCTCTCTCTCTCTCTAACACACAAACTCACATGTAACTATTCACAATTTCTTTTTAAAATCTTATTAGTAAATTTCATAAAGTCACCTCAAGTGGTATTTACTCCTTACAGTATCAATTGGAAATCAGTTTGTAGAAGTGATTGACATTTGGGACAACCTGTATGCAATTCTGTGTGATTGTATTTAATAGTTTTTAGGCTCAAATGAAAGAAATGTTTTGGTTTGTTGTCATCTCACACGCTAGTGTTACTTATCCTTTGAAGATAATGATGTTCTGTGCAAATGAATGTGTGCTCTACCTTTTCCCCTTTTAAACTTACAGGATTCTTGCAACAAGCCTGAAACTCCTGCTAATTTGCTTGATTTTTCGTTTGACCAACCTAAAGATACTTTGGAACGGTTGGCACTTCCTCCACCCAAGGATCTGGAGTCCTTGCTTCTGGATGCAACAAAGCATCCTGCATCGTCAAGGCATGGCCCTGATCCACGTCCAGGGAAGCAAACATCACGCCGAGCTAGCTTGCCAGCTTTTCCCTGGTCACACACTTTCAGTGGGCACTCAAGAACTAATTCTGACGCAGTTAAGTGTTTGTCAAGTAGAAGTACATGCCAAGGTAGATGGGTAAGAATAGGTGACAGTTTCAATTCTCCTGGGTCTGCCTCTGATTGCTTTACGAACTTGGAGTCACTTGCTTATGATGAGACCTTAGTTCCTTCACAAGGACCAAAGTTGGCTGTTGTAGAAAATAATGTTGATTCATCAAAACCTTGTTGTGGGTGGGGTTTGTCATCATCATCGGCTTTTATAACATCCCATGTTCTGCAAGGTAATAATTTCTTGAAGGACTAGTTTTTTTTTGGGTGGTCTTTTCAGGCTTGTGTTTAACAAAGATACATTTAAACCTTTAAAATTCATTAATAGGGTAATTTTTCTTCCAATTGCAGAATCTGAAGGTAACCTAAAGTCTCAAGGAAAAGGTAAATTTTGAAGTTACTTGTAACTTTGTTTTCATTTGATTTAAAATACTCAGCTGCCATTTTGCAACTGTCTGTGCGTGTGTGATGTCGAGTAACTAATTTTTGAGTTCAGTGGTCAGGATGTGTGCACTTGCCATTACATGCCCTGGTTTGACTGGATACCTTTTTTTTTTTTTGTCTGACAGTTGAACATTGTCCAAGACTGTTGGAGGCTGCTCAAACCTTGTATGACATTGCCACTCACGTTGCTACGCAAAACCAAGATGGAATATTTAGGTGGCCTAAAAAGCTCTCGCAAAAGGCAATGAAAGCTCGCAGGGCAAAATCAAATGAGAAACCAGAAGATGTATTTGCAGCATCAACTTCATCAATGGGGTCCGACCATATGATGTCAAGAAGTGGTGTGGACCAGATAACGGCCTCCAAGAAGCCTAAACTCTCAACAATTGGGAACAAAAAGGATCTTGGTCATATCAACGGTCTTAGGAAAGGGCCGATAAATTGGTCTACTCCAAAATCAAGTAGATCATCTCCCAATAAATCAATTGGAGACTCAATTACAGAAAGTAGACATTCTTCTACTTACATCTTAAAGCAATCGTGTATGATGCCTCCACCTGCAAAGGTTCTGAATAGAACTTACAATGGTCAACCCAAGGTTCGAAAATTGATGCAGATGGATTGAAACAGAGAATGTGACAGGCAGGACTGGTCAATGTCGTTTTGGATTCAGAGGCCTCTTCATTCTAATCAATTGTAATTCATCAACACTGCAGTTGTGGTGCCAGCCCAACTGTGCTGGACAGATATGTAAATATTGTGGGATTTGTTGTATGGGTTTAGACTGCAGGCGGACAGGATTTGTTGTAAGGGTTCATCTGGAGGGAGGAACAGCAATGTTGTACCATTAAGAACAGGTAGGTGTACTTTACAGCAGGTAATTCTTTGCCTTGTGTAAAGCATTTAAATGAGGCAATAGAAATTTCAGTTCTTTACCTCTTTCTTTTCATACATTAGTTGAAATTGAATACTTGCAGAACCTTCTATATTTTTAAAACGAAGAGATTTTAGTGGCTTATGATGGGAAGAAAAGTATGTGGATCTTCTAGGGGGAATCTGGTTAATAACCCTCATAAAACAGTATTTAGAATTCTAGATGCAAATTCGGTAACAAAGTTGAGAAACGGAGGTATGGGTGCCCGATGCTCAACGCAGTGCAACTCAGATGTCTGCATGGTTTTCTTTCAAATATTAAGAATCCACACTACCGTCCGGTCTTGGGATCTAGTTCAGGTGGCAGGGCGACGCCTCGCATTCCGATTTTCTGGAGATTTTATATTTTTCTTGCTTTTATTTATTATTAGACTTATTTAAACATATGAAACGTGGAAATCGGTAAGGGGATGCAGCTCAGATGGTAGAGCGCTCACTTAGCATGCGAGAGGTATGGGGATCGATACCCCCCGCATTTCCACCATCTTTTTTCCTCTCAGAATTTCGTATACTTGCAGCTTTGAAAAGGTTAAGACTGTTCCTTTTACCCTTTTTCTTTTTGACTGTAAAGAGAGAGAACCATTCTTTCAAAAGAAAAATCCCGGGAATTTAGAATAAACTTTAACTGCAACAACCCCATCTCATTTTCTTTTTTCAACTTTAAATTTTAATGACACAGAGAAACAGGGCAATTCCTAAATATTCTTTTCATCAGATCTGAACACAAATGGGAATTAACTGTGTTTATTCTTAATCTTTGGAGCCAATATTATTTATCACCTCAACAATCATCATCACTCCTTAGCATATTTCCTTTTTCTGAACCGATGATCAGTACCCATCGGTATTTCTATTCCGTAACATTCTGGGCAAAACATATGAACATGTATATCTTACGTTCTCATTACAAAGCCTAATTCCTAACCCAAAAAAAGAAGAGAAAAAAATCAAAATTACGAAAACATTTGATCCAATATCAAAATCAAACCCATGGCAAATCCAGCATCAAATCCTGGCTCTACATTCAAAACAAAAACCTCAACCCCATAAGAAACACCTCTAACGATAGCTTCTTTCCTCTTGATCTCTGCCAAAACCTTTCTTGATACATCTAATACTTTGCATGATCTATGCGTATAAGAACCTTCAATCACAAACGAACATCTTTTTTCTAAGGATCCTCGAAAAACATATGCAAGTACACTGTGATTGGTCTTTAAAACGTTAACATTCTTCCTCACACACCAAATTGGCTTCTTTGATAATTTGGTTGTTGCACATCCTTCACCTTCATAGACAAGCCAGTTATCAACTAGTAATCCAAGCTTCTGCAAAAGAACGCAACCAAGTTTTAATACGAGACCAATCTTAATTTGATTCGTCTTTTTAAGGTGCCAACTATCCAGTTCGAGTCCTGTCTTTTATTTAACCTAAAGAACTCAAAAAACGAATAGAATGAGAAAATAAAAAGGTAAATTACCTTGCGTCGACGCATTGTGAAGATGGACTTTCCTGAGCCATCCATAAGAATGAGTTCCTCTGGATGATCAAAGTAATTATCAACCCGATACGCTAAATCTCCACAGGAATTAATTACTGTAAATCCATTGCAACTAATTAAAAGTGACTTTCTCCACACTGTTAACGAAGTGCACTTGCCATCGGTAATCTTGGTCTCAACCTTGGTCTCGGCAAATGGCTCTTGATGATGTTCTTGATCGTGTACTGATCTTGACAAAGATTTTAAGAAAAACATCATCTTCAATATAGTGGTAGTAGTCTTTGCTTTTAAGCATTGAAGAGACATTTATAGAAGCTAGCTGTACAATGTTTGAATGCCTGCCTGTCTTAAGATTTTGCTTGTTAGATAGGAGACATGTGCCTGTATGGCGCATTGTTGTTGTTGTGAAGTTTCCTTGTAAGAAAGTCTAAGAAGTTTTGCCATCTTAAAATTCTAAAGCCCAGTCCGACAAGATATTACCTAACTAGAAATGCCCCGTCCCTTGGAGTCTTAATTATGAGATTAAGAAAATAATTTCATTTTAATTTTCAAGCGTTAAGAGTCTGACTGCATTGTATGTACCGGTGTAGGAAGACGTGACACGTGTGTGTTGCCATTGTTTGTCTCCAAGATTCCGAAGTTTTTCTTGTTTCGAGTACGAGTTAGAAATGGTATAGCGTTGTCAGGGTGAAATTCAAGGGAGTCGACGTGTCTCTTTTTAGGCCAGGAAAAGGAAAAAGGGTTGATGTGTAGTTATTTCCGTCATGCTTTCCTTTCTATTGAAATTGTGGTTATTCGCACCAAACATTCTTCAACCGTACTGATTTCCTTAATTTGGTCTCTTTATTTTTGTTTTTTTTATTCACTTTCTTTATGTACTCTTCAATTTTTTTTTTTTTTAATGTAACTTCTCCGAGTAAAATCCGATCAATTTTCCATTTGCAAGTGACAGAAAAAAAAAAAAAAGCCGTGTGGGGGTGACATGTCACTATTGTTTATATACCTAGCATTTAATAAAAAAAATTGTCAAAATTCCTAAATAAATTTATTTGGAAAAAAAAACCAAAATATAATAAAATTTCCCTCAAAATTCTCTAATCTCAGTCGCATGGAGTTGAAAAATTCCTCAAATCTCTTATTCCTTCTTTTATTCATCTTCTCTAAGTTTTCAGTCATGATTGAGCTGAACCTCTCCCCATCCCCTCTCAAAAAAAAAAAAAAAAAAAAAAAAAAACCCCTAAAATCTCTTCTCCTTTCTTGTCTTCATCTTCTTCGAGTTTCTTTGTTTATGAGAATATGCTTTGTGACAACAAATTTTAACCTTTTGCGAGATAACATTCTCCTTCTTATTGTCTTTTATAGACTCAAAAACCCTCAAATCGATTTAATCATAAAACCTCTAAATTGATATTGTCATTTCATGAAAACCCTAAATTCAATGAGTTCATCATCTTCGTTGTCAACATGTAGAAAATTAGGTGATGGAATGAATTTTCAATCATCTATTGTCACCAACGATTTTGAGGAAGATAGATTGCATTTGAATTGTGCGGTTTCACCACAAACTCCCTAATTGAATTATGAAGAGCCTCCTATGATATGTCACGGTGAGTTGAAAACTATAAGGTGGATGTCATTGAGTGTTAGGATCCAAGTTTTATCCATGTCTTATACATTTTGCCCATGATTGTAATAAAAATTTTAGTTATGATTATTGGGTATGGAAGGATGATTTCATAGAAGGCGAGCTAAATAGATTGTTTTAGGAATGAGAAATAGACAAAGACAAATTTATAAAGAGAAAAATTTGTTACTAGAGGAATACAATGAATTACTTGTGAAGGTTGGAAGGTTGAAGAATGAGTTGGATTATGTTTTGATAGAAAAAGAAGAGTGGTTGATTGAGATAGCAACATAAAAGACAAAGAAAGAACATATGATTTTATCAATGAAAAGATCAAGTTCTTACAACAAGAAGTCTGTTGAATTTCTATAAAATAGTAATGATTTTAATTTTAATTGTGTTGTTTGTTTGTAAATTGTAATGATGTTTATGAATTAACAATAGTTGAAATGCGTCGTTCATTATGTTATTCCTCATAAATGATTGAATTTATGTCATTTTGAATGTGCGATTCAATTTGTATTGCAATTCTATCAATGACCAAAGGCGACGAGACTTGGTCTCAAAAATGTTACGACGAGAGAGTTGATCTTAAAAATGTGATAATAGTGTTAATCTTAAAAATATGGCGAGCAAAGTTGGTCTTCAAAAGTGGCGACAATATAGGTATGTGACAATAGTGTTGGTTTTGAAAATGTGACAACAAAGTTAGTCTTCAAAATATGATAGCCATATAGGTACCATTCTATCCATGTGCTAGCTATGATTTGTAGTGTTTAGAGGTCTGGATCACTCTTCCTCTCAAAACGGCTAGGGTTTCCTTTTAAGGTTGTTAGGGTTTCTATCACACAATGTTCTCATTAAAATAAATATTAAATATTGGTTGTGTTTTATAACAATCAAAACATGTGTGAGACATAGTCTCACTAGGAAACTCGATTTCTTAACCACTTAGGAGAAAGAAAAATGTGAACTTATTATTTTGATAAATTAATGTCCAACAACCTTGGAATTGGACTTCATTAAGCCTATTTTATATGACTTAATTGAACCAACCTATTGGTATAATTAAATATCATAATCCGGAATGTATCCTAGTCTCATTATGAATCTTAATCGGACTAGAAATCCTAATCCAACTAGGACTTCGGTCATATTTCAATTTTGAGTAGCTCTTTATGTGTGACCTTATAGGTTCTTATTACGTTGATAGTGATCTTAAAATCATAATTTAGAATAATAAATAGTCGGTGACATTTAGCAATGCATCACTACTACACAGCTGATAAGAATGTTGGTGATTCAACATAACCTTATTTGTGATATATGTTACAATGTAATCTAGTCCCTTTGTCCTACATGTCTAGATTGAACATGAGGCATAAAATATGTCATCCTCATATAGTTTAACTTAGCATTTTTTGATCTAAGAGTTGAATGTTCCAACCAAAAGAGATTGATATCTCATATCAACTCATTTGAGTATGACCATGCATTTCACAATCTCACTCGATTAAGGGGCCCATAGACATTACTCCTGTTACATAGGAGGGAAAAATCCCATATACATCACGCACATCCCTTCGAATGATTTATGGTACATCTATCAACCAATTTTATATTCCATCTTGTTATAGATGATATTTGATGGTATTAAAATATATAACTATTCATATAAGAAATCGTAATGACTTTAAGTCAAAGGACCTCTTTAATATGTACCTTGTGTTGACTTGATATCTCATATCCATAACACATTATTATTAGTTAATACACATACTAGTCTCAATGCTTTATTGTTACCTCTTTAATATGTCTATAATAAAAAAAGTTGATTGGGACATTTAAGAATAATAATATTCTTGAGATTTTATCATATTCATTTAATAAAATACAAGAATAAATAAATAAATATAATAAATAAAATGTCATATATAATAATAATAATAATAATAATAATAACAACAACAACAACATGATAAGTGTACTATGATTGGCTTCAGGGCATACACCATACACTACCATAACACAATGAACAATACATTTCAAGTTATTGTTAACTATAAACATCATTATAATTTGCAAACAAGAAACACAATTAAAATTAAAATTGTTGCTATTTTATAGACACTCAACAGACTTCTCATTATAAGAACTTGATCTTTTCATTGACAAATTCATATGTTCTTTCTTTGCCTTTTGTGTTGCTATTTCAATCATCAACTCCTTTTTTTTTTCCATAAAAAAGAATCCAACTCACTTTTCAACCTTCCAACCTTCACAAGTAATTCATTGTATTCATCCAACAATAAATTATTCTCTTTATAAATTTATCTTTATCTATTTCTCAATCCCAAAAATAATTTGTTTAGTAGTGCCTTCTAAGAAATCATCCTTTCATACCTAATAACCCCAAGCAAATTTTTATTACAATTATAAGCAAAACGTATAAGACATGGATGAAACCTAGATCCTGGATGCTTATCACTCAATGGCATCCACCTTGCGGTCTTTAATCCACGAGTGGTATATCATAGCGAGCTCTTCATAATTCAATTAGGGAGTTTGTGGTGAAGCTCGCACAAATCAAATGCAATTTATCTTCATTAAAATCAATTGTGTCTAAAGAGGATTGGGAATTCATTCCATCACTTATTTTTTACACGCCGATGATACGGATGATGAACTCATTGAATTTAGAATTTTCATGAAATGACAATATCAATTTAGGGGTTTTATGGTTAAATCGATTTAAGGATTTTTGAGTCTATAAAAGTCGATAAGAAGGAGAATTTTTAGCTATAAAAGGTCAAAATTTGTTTCTTTAAATAGATTCTCATAAATAGAGAAACTCAAAGAAGATGAAGAGAAGAAAGGATAAGAGATTTTAGGGTTTTTTTTAGGAAACTTTTTAGCTCGATAGCGACTACAAACTTGAAGAAGATGAAGAGAAGGGATAAGAGATTTTAAGGTTACGGGGGGATTTTAAGACATTTGATAGATTTTTTAGCTCTATGCAATTGAGATAAGAGAATTTTGTGAGAAATTTTATTATATTATGGTAATTTTTTTTTGGTTTGAAATACGTTTATTTAGGAATTTTGGTTTTTTTTTAATTAAATGCAAGGTGTATAAAAATTACTCGAACTATTACATCACGTGGTATTTTTTTTTCCATCTCGTCACTTGTAAATGGAAAATTTGACGAATTTCAATCAAATAAGCCATATTAAGAAAAATTAAAGAGTATAGAGAGGGGTTGAATTAAAAAAAAAGAAAAAGAAGAGAGGCCATATTAAGAAAATTCTCACGGTAGAGGGACGTTTGATGTGATTAGCTAATTTCATTTTGGGAGTTTTTGGGTTACTTTTATTTTGCCTAATAAAATTCTTCTCTTCTACATTAAGAACCACAACTAAATCAAAACCCATCATAAATATAGAATAAATTAGCAATGGAGGATAGAGATAAGGACAATAATAAGCGAGCTTTTTGCTTGAATGAATGCTTGACTTTACTATTGCCCACTTTATCGTTATTCAAATATAGAGCAATACATAATCAATTGACAAGTGTAAGAGAAGACAATCAAAACTCATCATTTATCGTGATTTAAATTCAATTTACGGATGGTGGTTTTAGCGTTTTGAATTTGGTGTTTTTAGATTTAGGGGTTTTCTAATTTAGAAGTTTTGGCTTTTTAAATAATGATTAGATAGCAATAACACATGAAATCTATAGGATTTTTAGACAATTTCAATGCTGAGAAGATAATCTCACTCACGAGATAAAATCTAATAATTAAGATGAAAGGATTTTAGGTTAGTCACAATTGAGAGGAGAGAGAAAATTATCTTCTAATTTTATACTATATGATGAGTGCATAATTAACATGATTTTTATGCTATAATATAATGAACTTTATAGCATTTATTGTATTATATTTAGTTAATAGAGATCAAGATGGCGATTTTGGTTTTGTAGAGAAAATGGTGAATTAAAGTAAAGGAACCCCAAATCGAAGTAAGGAGAAGAAAGGTCATTATGGAGGCTTAGAGGAGTCACATGACCATGCCATTTATAAAGAAAAATAGCTATTGGCCATGTGACATTAAGGAAGAAATCATGTGGATTATTTAGCAATAAAACCACACAAGTTATAGTTTTCTAGATGGCTTAAGCATGGAATTCAATACACTTATACATGTGTCAAGTTGAAGATAAATTCTAAGAAAAAGAAGCAAGCACATGGACAAGAGACTTTTACACGATATGTAGTAAAAAAAGAGACACACCTATAGATATTGCAACAAGAAGAATGAAGTAACAAAGGTACATGGGTAGAACTAATTTACACGACTTGAAGGCAAAATTTTAGACGGGCGGAATGACGAGACATGGGATGAAGGAAAAAGGCACACGATCGTGTGCTTCTATTCAAAAAATTATGTAATACCTTCTATTCAAGACTCCAAACCATGTGAAATTAAACAACAAACCATGTGTCTTTACTAAGCAAAACTTATAACTATGTGGGGCGACACATATATGATGTGGCTTTACTTTTAGCTATAAATAGTGATATTAGAATTTTATTTTGAAATTTCAACTTCCAACGACGACCATCGTAGATAGAAAAACACTTCTTTGTAACTTATTATGAACAACTAAAAATCTATCTTGGTTGAATCAAGTTAAAGCTTTTGGTTAAATTATTACGAGATTACTTGTTTTCATTCTAAACTTATCTTATTTGAGTATTTTATATTTTTCTATACGATTGGTTTATGGTTATGTGATTAAATTGATTAAAATGCACGTTAGTTGTTTGATCATCTTAAACTATTGCTAGTTAAGTATTCAAGTCCGTGTAATTGTTTGTCTAAACTTACCTATGGTAGTAACTAGGGGTTAATGATTATTTTTCACATTTTTTGTTCAATCTCTTGAAAAACATAGAACTAGATTATATCTATCTAGCATCTAGGATGGTGGTTTAGCTTCACTTATTTTTCTCTACTTAATGCTTGTTATTGGATTAAATTTATTTAACGTCTAGTAGGCTATTCAATAGCTAGAGAATTAATCGGGTATCATATATTCGATTAACGACTTAGTAAGAAAAGACTCGAAGACAACATACATGTTGTTGTCCTATGGTGAATATTCATATTTAGGATAAGTTAATAATTGAATCGATGATCGGTAACCAAACTAAAAGTGGATACCGAAATTCAACCAAGGTTTCCTTAATATTGTTATTTCTAGTTATTTTAATTATTCACAAACACCTAAAACACAAAACCCCTCTTTATTGCTTTCACACTACGGAACAATCAATCAAGAGAAACTATTAATTAAGTCACTTGTCTAAGGGTTCGAACTTTACTTTCCCTATCTACACTATTATGGTTAGGTTCTATGAGGACAATAAAAATTACTAATTTGTTGGCGATACGACATGCCATCACCGTGTAGTAATGTTTTTCATCCTAAATGAATTTATTTAAGAAGTTTGAGAGTTTTTTTTATTAAATTCTAGGCGTATAAAAAATACTGACTTGTCACGTCATATGTCATTGTTTTTTTCCATATGTCACTTGTAAACGCAAAATTGGTCAAATTTTAGTAAGAGGGACCACATTAAGAAAAATTGAAGAGTACATGGAAGGGTTGAATAAAAAAAATATAGGGGCCACATTAAGAAAATTAGTACGGTGGAGAGATGTTTGATGTGATTAACCTATTAAAATTGTTATGATAATGCTTCAATATGCACCAACATATGCCTAAGAGGGCACAAACTAGTAGTATAAGTTTTAGTGAATGTATTGTAACCAAATTATGTTTAAAGGTTTGAATAATAACTATTGATAAAATCTAGTTACACTCATTATTTATATTTCTTAACAATTAGATTTGTCAATTATAACATGGAATATACTTTTTAATTGTTAACGAGAAAATGTGGTAATTATACAAAAAGTGAGACATGATTAAGACAAGTAACAAAACATAGAGTATTGCAATATAAGAATAAAAAGCTATAATAAAACATAAAGTACTACAAAAGTTCATGAAGAAGCAAAAGCCTATAAATACTAGTTACAACAAAGGAAGAAAGACACAAATAAAAAAAGTCAATAATCAACTCGACAACACTTGCAAAAAGCAACAAAAACCTTAGGTGTCGTTTGGTAACCATAATTGAATAGCTCGGAATGGAAATGAGAATCAAGAAATTAAATGAAAAAGGAAGAATAGAAAGTCATAATAGAACACAAAGCACTATAAAAGATCATGAAAGAGGAATAGTCTACAAATACTAGTTACAATAAAGAAAAAAGGATAAAAAAATAACAATCAACTCAACAACACTTGTATAAAGCAATAAAATTCTTAGATGTTGTTTGATAATCATAAATGATAGCTTAGAATGAGAATAAGAATCAATAAATCAAAATGAAAATCCAAATTCAATTGTTGTGTTTGGTATTTTAATATTAGAAATCAAAATGAAACATTGGAATAAATAAATTACTATATTTGGCACAAACAAGCGGGAATCAAAATGATATAATATATTTATCATTGTATCCTTCAATAGCTATAATAAACTTTGTTATCTAGAAAAAAATTATATGAAGATTTTTCTTTTACCCTTTAGAAAAAAACTAATTATTTTATACACATCAAGACATGACCTATAAGCATCACCTCCTGTAATATATTTATCGTCTTGTGGACCAAATTCGGATCAAGATGGCAAAATTGAAGCAACTACATAAATAGGATCTAAAAGTAACAAAATAGACCTATCAATCAATATGTAATTTAATAATGAAAATAAATAATATTTTAAATGTAATTAAATATCCATCTTCCAAATGTCATACTAGCACCAATGAAGAAATTAAAAGAAACATTAACATTCCGCACAAATGCTTCCACATAATGCATAAGAAACCGTAACCAAAAGTACTAATGCATAGCTTGTGTATCACCTCTAGTAACTCGCAAAATGGTTCGAGTATCATGGGCCATTGAATTCCTACTAAAAAGCCAATGTCACTAGATCAAGACCGACTTGTAGTAAAACAATAATTGTTATATGCATAACTCACTATTTTTATAATGATAAATTAAAAAGAAAATTCATAAGAAGTCTTTCAAAGCCTTTGCAAATCTGAATAAATGAAGAAAAGAAGTTCACTGCTAGAGGCTAGAAGGGAAGAGGGAAAAAAAGCTAGATTTGCACTATTTGAAAGCAAAATCTATTATTAACTATTAGATCTAGTTTCTAAACTACAATGGTCAATAAGACCTAAAAGTCATTATAAATAGGATCATTTGGCAACACTTGAATAAGAAAAAAAGAAAAGAATAGTACATGGAGAATAATAATTTCGATCGATGTATTATTTCAAGATGGGAAAAAAGAGACAGAAAAAGAAAGTATCTATTTGAGTGGGAGAGAGACATTGCAATTTTTGTAGCTAATTAGGTATCATTAGAGGGAGAAAAAAATACCGGTATTTACGAGTAATAGATATATATTATTATTTAAAACCTAAGGATATCTTTTAAATAAATAAAAAAAAGAACACTTTGTTTCATTCTTACATATCCATTCTCTATCAAACCTAAATCCATTAGATAATAAAAACTCGAAAAAAATGATTCTCATTTCTTATTTGTATTTACATTCCATGCTATTTCAAGATACCAAGCACGTCAATATCAAAAAATGAAATGTGGATTTCCATTCTTAACGCTTTATTCTTGGTTACCAAACATCCCTTTCGGATATTATTTTAAGTTTTAACATTTTTGAAACTTGTTAAGTAATTAATTATAGGCAATAGTTGATAGACAAAAATTAAAGTAGGCCGATAGATATGTAGGTTGATAAATTTACTCTTTGATATTATTTTGTTGCTGTAACTCATGCTTATGGTTTCAAGAATTGATTTTTTATGTTAATATCATAGCTGGAGAGAGAATCTCAATCAGTAAATATCTTTTCTCATCAATGAATGAAAGTTCTTTTTAAACGTTTGAGTATTGTTTTCAATATTTAGTACCTATTCTCATCCACTATATTATTATGATTACAGACCTTGAATTTCTATTGTATTAGTCTGTTTAATCTTGTTTCTTAAAGCTTGAATGCATGCTCTTGAGTACAGATTAGCATAAAAAAATCAAATTATTAATTTGAGGTCACTATCATAACAAGTGATTATCCCTACAAATCTACAACACATTTAGCTTGGGTAAGCTTTTATCTTTTATTACATATTTTTTTTAATTGACACTAAAAAAAAAAACTAAAACAAAATTGGTGACCATAATAGAAGTGTCAATCACATTTTTATTATGACACCAAATTATTAAGGTTTTAATGAAAGAAAAAAATCAATTCAAAAGATGTTAACTTTTGAGACTCTTTATCCAAATAATTCTTTAAAAGTGGATTTTAGTAATGAGAATTAAATTTATGATAGAAAAAAAGAGTCATTTCATAAGATGCTAATTTATAGAGCTTGAAAGAAATTGAAACTAAAAGTTCAAGATATTCCAAAATTTTGACGAGTAAAAGAAATATAAGTTTAACTAGAGGCTAGGTTTAAACGAGCTTGTAAACCGATTGAAATCAATTACCAAACCAGAACTCAATTAATAGAAGATAAGCATAAGTTGAGAATGAAAATGATAGAAAATCACTACAAGAAATTAAAGTTGGTTAACAACAAGAAAACTCTTCCTATAAAGCATCTAGTGACTTTTAGAAGGATGTGAGAGGTTATGATGAAAGATACAATTCATTATTTAAATTTAAACCCCCTACATAAACACCTCAAGTTATTAGAGAAGTTAGTCATCCCATTAGAAACATGCTTTACGGATCCCGATACTAAATCCGTAGGGATAAAAAAACTATAATTACAGGTTTATAGATACCGACTCGTAGGGATAAGGAGTTATAATTACATGTCTATAGATACTAGCTCTACAAAAATGAGAAGCTACAAATACGAGTCTACAAATATTACCTCTACATGGTTCAACAAGATGCAATTATAGGTTTGTAGATAATGGCTCTATAAGGTATAAAAGTTATGATTAAAGTCCATAGATACTAACTCTACCAAAAGCGAAGCTATAATTACAACGCTACAAATACTAATTCGTTTAGAGTAAAGACCAAAATTACAAGTCCGTAAAGAAAAAAAGTATATTTATGGAACTATAAATGAAAGACCTAAGGGAGCAAACTAAATAGAGAGGTGGAGATGACTAACTAATAAACAAGTGGAAAACAATCAACCCTTGTAACTTAACCCTTAATACATTTTAGGAGTGGTACAACAAGCCTATGGTCCTATAGTGCAACAGATTTACATTATAAATTTTGACTTAGATATTGAGGTCACTAGAAATAATCATGATCAAAATATTAAAAGTATGAATTCATTTTAAGGTCTTAAGAAAAATTTAGATTTTGATCATGAAATCATGATAAATGATCAATATTTTGAATTAAAAGAATCACTACAAGGCTTTAAGAAAATTACATGTTTTGGTCTTGGAGTCATGATGAATGATTATGATATAGATATTGTAATGGTGGAATCATCCAGGAGTATATATCCAAATAAAAATCCTACCATGTTGTTCCATATTTATAGTGAAAAAATAGAAAACTAGTAATAGAAATTCATATGGATGTCATAGTTATCCATGAAAATTGTCATTCTAGTTGGTCGTTAGGATCACTTGAATTGAAAACTATATTCATTTGGTTAATGCTTAATTTTCAAGTATATGAAGTGTCTTTAATCCCATACAATAATCAACTATGATAATGTTTTTTGTTTGCAAGACATGTGTTAGATTATATGAGTTCTATCTATTCATAAAAGTGCATCACATGTTATAAAAAATATTTTAGAAAATCTACTAACGAGCCTAAAAAGAAAACCCATTCTCATTCACAAAATAAGAGAACTCTCATTTGAACATGTAGAGTTGCTGACTTGAGCTAAAGTCATAGAATTTTAGGCTTATTGTTACAAGAACTAACTCAAGAGATTACAACTCTTTATACGAGATCATGTTTGGTTTCAAGGTTTTCTATTTTAGTATTCACCTCAAAACTTTATTCCATGGGGTGATAGTCCTAAGTAGTAGGTTTCAAGAATTTTTTTAGATTATATGATGAAGAAAGTGAATTTATATATTAAAAAAATAGATAAAAAGAACTTAAAGAGAACATTTTTTTCCACACGTGAGGTAAACACTCATATATGAAAAGAAAGTGGGCATATGTTATAATCAATTTTAGATTTCTTAACTATTTAAGGAGTTAGTTATAACATGGGCTATACTTCTTACTTGTTAAGAGGAAAATGGGTGGTTACAAAAAAAAGGGACATGATTAAGGCAATAACAAAATATGAAGTGTCATAACCTAAAATTTTTTATATAAGAATATTAATTATATTATTACCTTAGCTCTAAAAATTTAGGAGCAAAATGTAGACTTCGGGAAGAAGATGGAGAAGAAGATCAATGCTTGGCCATGGTGGCTCGACCACCATTATTGCCAAAGGCCGTTGTATCTAGTGGACGGATGCAAGCACCGGTGACACAAAGTGATACTGGTCGGATGGAGCAGAGTGGTAGGGTTACACGACTAATGGAAGTCGTAGCTGATCAAAATGTAAAGGCAAGTGGAAGTAATTTGAGTAACCCCATAAACTAGACTTTGATGTCGCAAGAGCCAAATCAATTGAAAAAAGCTATAGGTCTATCTTATGTTAAGACTATCGCTACTACCAAATATCAACAAACTATGCCAACTTGCTCACAAATCATATCCCTTAAAAGATATTCATCTTGTTCCAAGGCAACCGACTTTCATTAATTCGGAGCTTGCATGTTTATTTTCTACCATAGAGTTAGAGATGATCGCCGCACAATTTAAGAATACCATCATTCTAAAGTTTTCAGCGGGGAGGCCTTCGATTCATGATATTCGCTACACATACAACGTTTGTGGAAGCTCAATGGTGAACCCGTGATTAGACTATTGGATCTAAGACATGTCATGGTAAATCCGCATTCGGAGAAAGATTTACACCATGCATTATCCGGGAAGGATCACAAGATCATGAGCTATATGTATAGGGTATTTTGATGGAATGCTAATTTCCATTATCATAGAGATAGTCCTCTCATCTCGGCTTAGGTGACATTGCCTCGGCCTTCCTTTGCTTTATTTTAATCCAACATACCCGAAATGAATAGGAGAAGGCATTAGGGTTTTTTTTAGGGCTGATGAAAGGACTATAGCTTTAACATATCTCATGTATGCTAGAATTTATTTTGAAATAGATGTTTCAAAGCCTTTACCTAATAAAATTTAGGTGGGTAGCCCTAAGGAGCATCGCTTTTGGGAAAAGATAGAGTATGAGAATAATTTAATTTATTACAATATATGTGGTCTTATAGGCCATATCAAAGAGGCATGCCATAAGAAAAATAGATTACCTATTGTGGTTATGGGGGGAGGACGATAACTAAGGGTAAAGAGAATGGCATGGGAAAAAATGCTAATAGGGATGAGAGGGAGAAGGATCGGTGGCTATAGGTGCAAAGCAAAAAGCCTTCGTTGCCTCAACCATGGAGAGCAAGCTTAAAGGGCTTACCAATAATCCAAGTAAAGGTCAATAGAGAGGGAATTTAGTATAGGGAAAAAGTAAGATAGTGAGGGTATGTTGATGACGGGTTTGAATACGGGTGTGGTATCTATAGAGGGTGATAAGGGAGGTAAGGCCACGAAATCTACGAGATAAGGTGAAAGTCTGGACTTCTAATTCTGAATATTTTTATTTCCCCATGTATTTTCATTTTTTGCATTAATTTAGATTTAATTTTTATTTTTTTTGAATTTATTTAATTAACTTTACATTTTAGAATTTTATTTTAGTAATTATGTTAGATAATTACTTGATAAAAGAATTGTCGAGTCTCGGTGC